TGTAAGCACTGACCTCAACAAAGGCAAAGGAAAGACTGGGGCACTCTGGACAACTGATGGGGAGCTTATGACCAGGACTTGTAAACAGGGGTGTTTGCTAGGATGTTTTGAGTGGGGGGGCTAAAGTGCTGTCTCATGGTGTACGTAGGACCAAGGGCATTGCAGTGACCTACTTCCTGCCTGAGAATGCAGATTCATATAAAGCCCGCTGACCGCAACCCCTTCTGATTCATACAAACAATGCTGCCAGCCACAGCCTTTGACATCTAGCAAGGGACTATGAGACTGCAAAAGAAGCTGAAGGGCTTTGAGGCATAGGTGGTTTTTTTCATCGCTCCTTCCTGTTGAAGGTTGTGGCCCAGGAAGAGAGAGGAAAATACTAGCTGCATAGGTGGTGTCGTCAGGAAAGCTTTGGCTTTTTGGACCATGGTCCGTGCTTTGTTTAGGAAGGACTTTTGGGAAGATACATGTTGCACTTCACAGCGGTTGGCAAGAATGTCTTTGCTAAAAGTCTTGTGAGGCTGAAAGCAGGGGAGCACCTGGTACTGGGGATATTGTTATTGTTTAAATTTGTATACCACCCTCCATTTGAACATCTCAGGGCAGTTCACAACAGAAAAATACAAATTGAGAATACAAAGTACATATTAAAAAACAAACCAATAACCCACAGCTGAACACCTGGTTGAAGAGAAACAATTTTACCTGGCGCCTAAACTTATGTAATGAAGCTGTCAGGTGAGCCTCCCTGCTGCCACCCACTGGACCTTCCACAGAGGAGGCCCACAGAGAAGGGCCTCAGATGATGATCAGCGGGTTCCTATGGGTGGTTCCTAAGGGGAGAGGCGGTCCTTGAGGTATTGTGGTCCAGATCTATTTAAGACTTTATAGGTCAAATATTGGTCAAATGTTGGACTAGATGATCCTTGGGGTCCTTTCCAACTCGACAATTCTATGATTTTATGATTCTATGACTCATGAATGGAATATGAGAAAATAGCTCAGATGTTACTTGAGCAGCAGTTACCCTTGGTCTGAACCTTATGTATCAGCTGCAGCTTCTCAGTGGCTGGCTCTCCTTTCACAGAGAGATGCCTCTTCATTTATAGGATTCTATCCTTCTCCAGCAGATAGAGCAGGGAAGACTTTGGTTGCACTAGGGCTTCTGCTATTAGAGTCATTTGAGTCAGAGGAAGTCAGTGTGATGTCTTCATGCCAGAAGGTTACTCTCTCCAGAGTAATGTCCCCAGTGGTGAATGCTCAACTTCATGGAACTGCTAGCCGATCATTTAGGCATGGCTAAGCTCTTCTGGTTTTCTCCTTGCCCTCCTTTCAACGAAAAAGTGGGCACTTAACACATAGGTGCTAAATTTATACAACTTCAGTGTTTATCATGGTTCAGAAGGGGCCACGTCTGTCACAATTTCTGATTTGGTTTCATAGCACAATAACCACGTATTATTCAGAAATAAGTCCCACTGAATTCAATAGAGATTGTTCCCTAATAGATAGGTACAGAATTGTAGCTTGACTTGGTTAGTCTTAAAGGTGCCACACAGAACTGTTAATAAGGATTCCCATAATTTGATCATTAAAGAACAGGAAGCAGAGAGTAGGAATAAATGGACAGTTCTCATCATGGATGGATATAAGAAGTGGGGTCCCTCCAAAGATCAGTATGGGGACCACTCTTTAACTTGTTGCCTTCCTCCTAGTTTGTATCCCCAACTGGTTAAAATGTATAAGATATGAGGCTGCCGGCGGGGTGGGTATGGATGATGGGTATGTATACTGATAATGTTATTTTAAAAGAATGTACTCACTAGTATGTGAATGAAGGAGCCATATCAAAGTAGTTAGTGCAATAACAAATGCTGTAAAACTTTATAGGATATGAACATATATATACTTGTGTGTGTGTGTGTGTGTGTGTCTCTAACAGTGTGTTTCATATTACTTCTTTCTTCTTAATAGGGCATGCTGCTGAAGCGAAGTTGCAGATCTTTAAATAAAGAGTGGAAGAAGAAATATGTTACTCTCTCTGATAATGGCGTACTGACCTATCATCCAAGTTTACATGTAAGTGTGCATGCATTTCACAGTTATCAAATGATGTTTCAAAACCAGGAATCAGACCCACACAAATTACAGTGGTTAGTTAATTCAAGGTTAGTTAATTTTTGGAGGAAGTGGAAGGTTTTTGCCTGGCGCCTAAAGATACATAATGAAGGCACCAGGCAAACCTCACTGGGGAGAGCATTCCACAAACAGGGAGCCAGTACAGAAAAGGCCTGTTCTCTGGAACTCATATAGAGGAGGCACACAAAGAAGAGCCTCAGATGATGAACGCAGAGTCCGGGACGGTTTATATGGGGAGAGGCGGTCACGGAGGTATTGTGATCCTGAACTGTTTCCATAACCTTTCATTGCCAACAGACGGCCACCCAATCTTAAACCACATCCACACCCACAATAATACAGCAAGCAGATTTAACATGGACACTGGTACCAGAGCCTGCAATAAACCCAGATGCCAGCATTGCTGCCACATACACCCAGACAACACCATCACTGGACCCAACAACATCAAACGTACCATCTCAGGCCTATTTAATTGCTCATCTTCTAACATTGTGAAGGAAGTGGATAGAGGTTGACTGACAAGTATCCATTATTTTTTTAAAGGAAAATGCAGTTCTAATCAATGTGAAAATTAGAATTAAAAACATACTTTGATTACAGTTGAGTATTAAGGGGGGGGGCGTTTGATAAGATACATAGGGGCCATTTCAGAGTTTGCTTTGATAAAGGGAATGGTTGCTAAATGTAGCTTTCAAATGTAGTGTTATTGGAGAGCCATAATGCATAGTTTATTTTCTGTGCAATATTAAGCCTCCATCTATGCTTTATTTATTTGCACAGATTTTGGTATTTTTATAGAAATCATTCTTTTCACACTAAATGACAATGTATTAAACTTTCTATGTCTTTTCCCAGTGGAGTAGAAAGTTTGCTAGGAACATTTCAAAGGCAAACATAATTTCATTTTAAGAAGCTCATCTCCCGGCACTTGGAAGTAACCCTATATTTCTGAATTTAGACTGAAAGTATCACTGTGTGTTATCCAGTAGTACTGAACATATAAGAGCAGTATGCATAACGATGTGGCTACATCCAGCAGTATTTTATAAATACGTGTTTTTGGCTAAGCTTATAACACAATTGTAGATTTCCTAAGGTCTTTCGTAGGAGGAGATGATCTCTTTCCCCCCCAGGTGTGCCTGTGGCCCCAGTGGAAACCAATCAAGGTGCGATTTATGTTCATTAAGTGCTTGTCAAAACTGAAAAATTTTCTAATCAACAGCAATCTAACTGAAGCCTCCTCAGTGGCTGGGAGTGTCGCCTCTGCAGTGTCGGCTACTTGCCTGTTACAACTCTAGGCTAGAAATCCACTGATGATTACATTAGGCTAAGCTTCGAAGTAAATGAACCATATCTTATTTAGGTGCAACTAGCTTCAGTGTAGTCCTGCCCTGCAGGGCACTTTATAGCATTTTATGGCTTTAAAATTAGTGTAGCTTCCCATTTGCTGCAGGGTGCTACATGTTATGCCTTTGAACCCCATAAGCAAAGGGAAGGGGGTCTTTGTTCCCCTCCCTTTATTTTTCCTCTGCATTTTAGCTATTTTATTTTGCATCTTTTCCAGACGGCATTTTGCAATAAAAATGTCTGACTTCCCTCTGTACACAAAAAAGTAGAGTCATCAGCATTTGCCAGTCAGTACATACAATACTCTCAAACAATACTTAGCAATCTAAATAGATTTGCAGGTTGTTAACCAGTTTTCAATGATCTTTTTCAGTTATAAAATAGCGTTTTGAAATAAGATTTGTAATTTGCCATAATTTGTTGTTTTCCTGTAAAGTATGGTTTGTATGAATTAAATAAATTTTCAGTCTACTAAGACTGAATTAAATTAGTTATTGATAGGGAAACAAAAGCACAAAGGCATTTCACACAGTTAATTGGATAGAAGTATGACGAGCATATTAAAGACAAAGAATTTAACTTAACTCACTTAATTTCTGCAGAAATTAATATTGCTAATTATCAGAATGGTGAAAGATTGATGTGTTTTGCTTACTTTGATTGGAATAAGGAGGCATTGAACAGTGGTGATAAATAAAATAAGGGATGATTAGGTTAGCAGACATTGGATAGGGTTGTTATAGTTAGTGTACTCTATTATGCCGACGTAGATTATAAAGAATTGTTGTCATTGAGTCTTTTTAAAGAGAATGAGATTTTTCATCAAGTAAGCTAAATAAAAGTAGAGAAAATCATTGGCCCTGTGTGATTTCTAAACTCTCCAGCAGGGCACAGTATGAAACAGTGCAAGGTAAATAGGTCCCATGCCAGATCTAGTTAGAAATCAGAAAACCTATTCTGCATGTCCCATAAGTCCTTTTGAGCATAACAATTCATGCATATGGTCTATGGTTTCTGAACTGCTCAGTCAAGCCCTGATTCTGCAGTGTTCTTAGTAAAGTCTAAGTAAGGCTTTGCCATTAATAATTTAGCATTTTATATCACCTCTGCACCACCATAAATGTACTACTCATACATGGAGAGGAAGTACAGACTGATCCCCAACCAAAGATGTACTTTGCAAATCTTAGTTTAATATTATATTTGTGGAAAAGAGTGCATTCTAAAACCTTTAAGAACTTGTACTGCATGAATACCAGGGATATTCGATTAAAAAAGAAAAGAAACAGTAGAATCTGTCCCCACGTCACATTTATTAACTTCTACTGGTACTTTCCTCTGCCCCTCGTATGTCATGTATTTCTCCCTTTTCTTCCCTTCTGATTCTGGTTAAACATGGATCATTGGGAACATAGGCCTTGATACAGAATCAGACCATTGACCCATCTAGCTCAGTACTGTCTGGCAGCATCTCTCCAGGATTCCAGCCAGGAGGCTCCTCTTGCCGAACCTGGAGATTCCAAGAATTGACCCGGGAGCCTTCTACATGCAAGGCAGATACTCTGCCACTGAGCTACAGTCTTTCTTTTGCCCATGAAGTTAACTCTGATCAATGTCACCCTTCCTATATTTCCTGGCTTCACACAGCCCATAAATAATGCTTAACAAGAGAGTGTGTGGATAATCTGATAAAAGTGCACGGCAGCTGCCTTATTTACTGCTGTTTAGCGAGAAACAATATAATGTGTAGCAATGTGGGTGGTGGGTATTTTGCTTTTGATATGTCAAAAACTAAAGCAGAAGCTCTAGATGTCAAACATTTGGATTATTTTGAAATACAACGATTCTGCAGGCAGATACCCTTTTCCTAATGGGGCAATCCAGGGTGGGGGGTTGAGATTCAGGAATTCCTACACCCCTAGTTCTAATCAAGCAGCCTTCTGAAACGATCTATTTGTTTTAATTTTTAATCTAATCTTAATTTAGCATCTGCATGCTTCTTTTCCAAAAGCAATGTTGAGATAAAAATGGCTCACAACACTAACAATGCAGTAGAAAATAACATATGTATGATCTTATTTAGGTGCAACTAGCTTCAGTGATGGGACGCGGGTGGCGCTGTGAGTAAAACCTCAGTGCCTAGGACTTGCCGATCGTATGGTCGGCGGTTCGAATCCCCGTGGCGGGGTGAGCTCCCGTCTTTCGGTCCCAGCTCCTGCCCACCTAGCAGTTCGAAAGCACCCCTAAGTGCAAGTAGATAAATAGGTACCGCTTTATAGCGGGAAGGTAAACGGCGTTTCCGTGTGCTGCGCTGGTGCTGGCTCGCCAGAGCAGCTTCGTCACGCTGGCCACGTGACCCGGAAGTGTCTGCGGACAGCGCTGGCTCCCGGCCTCTTAAGTGAGATGAGCGCACAACCCTAGAGTCGGACGCGACTGGCCCGTACGGGCAGGGGTACCTTTATCTTTACCTTTTAGCTTCAGTGTAGTCCATGGCTTTAAAATTAGTGTAGCTTCCCATTTGCTGCAGAGTGCTTCATGTTATGCCTTTGAATCTCATAAACAAAGGGAAGGGGGTCTTTTATATGGTTATGGTGTTATACTGATACATTTGTCAGCTGGGGTCTCACTCACCCTGGAGGGAACACACACTCCCTTGCAAACAGCAGCACAACCGAGCCAGGATTGCAGACTTTGCAGCTCCAAATGTCTGTTAATGGCATGCAACTGATAGAGAGAGACAACACCTTCTTTTCTAATAAAGAGGAATCTTACTCCAGAATGGATCTGTTTCCGATTTCACCTAACATGACTCAGGAAGCATACATGATGGACTCATAGAACCATATAATTGTAGAGTTTCACTAGTAAGAGGATAGTGCAACTCATCTACGTGAGTTTAGGACTTTTTATTTTAAGAGAAAAGGTGATTTAGATGAGTCACTTTTTTACATGGTATACAAAAAGCTTCTCTTTCTATCTCAACGCTAGAACTTGTGGACATGAAACTGAACGTTGGAAGTTTTACTGCAGACCAAAAAAGTACTTCACACAGCCCATAAAGAGGTGTTGATGGCCACAGACTTAGAGGCCTTCAAAATAAGATTCATGGAGGAAAGGGCTATTAATGGCTGCTCCACCTCCACTCTCAGTTGCTGGGAAATACAAGTGGGGAGAGTCCTGCATTCAGGCTTCCCATGGGCATCTGGTTGTTCTCTGTGAGAACAGGAAGCTGGGCTAGATGGGCCATTGGCCTGATCCAGGCTCTTCTTATTTTCTTATGAAGCTAATAAAGGGTCTCCTAGCCACACTCCTCTTCAAAATGTCCCAATAGAAGTGGGATGGATTAATTTTAATTATTATAAAAAGAAAGTTCAGCAAAAATTTAAGATAGTTGTAATCCCTGACAGTAGTCCCTAACTTGGATTGCACAGTTACTTTTTATTTTAAAATTATTTTAAAATATTTGGTAACTTCCTCTTAGTCATTTATAAGCAAAAGTCTATTTCAACACATGTGTCAGGGAGAATTCAGAGGAGGAAGTGACAGAAGAGGCGGAGCAGGGGCTCGGGGATGCTGTGGAGCCCTTCAACCGCCCAGAGGCCCGGGAAGGGAGCTCAGACTCTGGAAGGGAGGGGGCTTTCAAATCAGCAAAGATTTGAAGGAGGGAAATGAAACATAAGGGCCAAAAACGTCTTGCGAAATTTCCCCACCTCCTTTGTTGGCGGGAGAATCGAAGGAAGCCACTCCCCGAATCTGACTCAACGAATTCAGATGCATAATCCTGAACTGTAGCTGTTTCTTGCACATATGTAATAAAAAATGTAAATATCAAGCCGACTGTGCCGGGGTGTTAATGTGAAGGGGAGACACCACCTTTACAACATGTTGTACAGCCTTATGTGCAGTCAGCGGTAGTGTAGTCAAATTATCACATCAGCACTGCTCTGTTTGCACAAATGCCAAGGGTATCCTCAGAAAGAAAAGCAGTGGCTATCAATATAGTGGGTGTATGGTAGGAATTTATTGATTGATTAATGTGTTTTGAGTTTAACTTCAACTACCACATTGCCCACAGCTGACTAAGATGAAGTTGCCAGTTAATGATAACTGTAGGCAATTACGTATGTTGTATTTTACTAGCACAAGAGAATGTGTGCAGATCTCAGTTTAACAGAAATGCTTGCATCTAGGTAGCAGAGGTAAAGTGTATTTTCGATGCACTATGCTGCTTTGCAGCAATTGCTGTGCAGATATTCAGAACAGATTGGATGTGTTGTTGCATATTATTATTTCTGTAGGAATCCGTTTGGTGTATGGAAGTCCTAATGGAATATGCCACGACCTTCCCCACACAGACTGACTGCCCAAATCCCCTTGAAAACAGCTCCACAGAAGGTGGTACCCGTGTTAAGCTGTGCTTCTGTCAGCAAGCTGAGAGCTGTGGGTCTCTGACATGGCACTCAATTGCTAGCAGGTTTCTCTCATTGCACCTCATTTGCATCTGGGACATCAATTAGCATGTTTGTTGAGGCTAATTGAATGAAACTCAATCATAGCTCTTAATTGCTTGACTATGTGAAAAGAAATCACATTAATGCAGCTAATTAAGTGTATGGCAATAGATGCAACATAATTAGGAGTGGAATGTAAAAAACAAGCGATGGCAGAGGTGCAAGAGCCACGGGGTGCAGGGTATTCAGATGCTCAGTTACCTTGATATGAACACCTTTCGGGAGGAGACCCTCCTGGCTCCGGTGCTTTTTGTATGCTGCTGAATTATGAACGTGGAAAACTTGAGAGGCAAAATGTAAATGGATTTGCAATTACTACTTTTTCAAGCTGTTGAGGGGCAGAAGATAGCACTTCTGGGGTGGGCCACTATGGAGTTGGCTCTGGGGACTTGTTAAGTGCTGTTTAAAAGTACTTGGCTTTGAATTACCCTCGTGTCTTGTTAAAGGTTCTTTCCCCCTCCTGTCCCCCCATCTTTTTTTTTTCTGCGATCAGCATTTTCTACAACTAACGTCTAGGGGAGTTTTCTTTGTAATATTTGCATATCAAAATCAGGCTTGCTATCTTCTCTTTAACACAGCATATTCCAGATGACAGGGTCATCTTCATCTTTTTCTAATGTGATCATACAATAAATCACTATTCTGAAGTGGCTATGCTTTTTTGTAACCTTTTATTTCTCCAGGGCAGCAAAATTTGCGATGGAAAAGTGTTGAGATCTTGCTGGAAGGAAACAGCACTTTGACAGTTTCCTAGTCTGTGAAACAATTACTGTTATGTACTTTATATACAGTGAAAGGGACTGTTGCATTACACAGTGCTGAAACATTAAGGAATAGTTTAAGATGACATTTCATACAGTGATGTTAGCGTCACAATTTCATTGAAAAACAGTATTGACATCTCCCCCTGAAACACTCCCCTCTGCCGCTACCGCCTAAAACGTATTTGTGGCTTATATACTAGAAGCCATACTATATTGTGGCTGGAAAAGGTGAGGGATTCATAACATGAGACTGATAAAATGGACAGAGAACTACTGGAGCCAGCCCCACAAACAATTATTATGCGGGCCCCAGGCACCTACTGATTTTGTAGAATCTGCAGTGGGTAAAAACACTGGGTTTAAAACCGCTCCATCGAGCAGAATGTCATGATATGTTGGGAGATAATAATAAAGTTCACTATCCCTGGTCTAAAAGTTTAGGATACATTTTGAAAACATTTTATTTCATTTACATGGAATACGCAGTCAAGGTTTAATTAAGATTTTAAATTATTGTTCTTGTCTCAAGTTGAGCCATGGACACTTAACATGTATGTTATAGAAATTTGAAAGTGGGGGCTAGTATTGACTTCAAAAGGTAATGTACGCTTTTTGCAATGATACTGTATGCGATTTGTCAAGACTAGCTTCTGAACTGTCAATGTCTTTCATTCCTCTCCCTCAGTAATAACCTTTAAAAACAATCATACGGCTACACTATTTACCAGGCTTTTTTTTCATCCATTTTCCCTTTCTTTGCAGTTAGATTTTGGAATTCAGTTGTACTGTCGGTGAAAAGCATAGATGCATAAGAGTGAATTCCCCTACTTTGTACCTCATACCATGCATCTAATTCTGGGCTAATTCTTTCATTGGTGCCTTTTATGCCTTTATGCCTGCTGAAAATTAGGTCTGTTAATTGTGTTCTGCATGACTCCTACATTGATGGAGCTTTTTCACATTCATCTGCACTTTATTGTCATAAGTCACTTTAATTTCTCTTTAAAAAATACAAGTTTTTTTAAATAAATAAGGTCTGTATCATCAATCAAGGCTGTTATACCATGGGGTAGATAGTTTAAAATACTCATTTTAGGCAGGCATCTGAAAACTGTTCTGTTGAGTAAGCTAATACAGTTTCCCACTCTCTGTCCATGCTTTTTCATGTCCATGTGCATCATGTATAACAAAAATACTGCTTGTTTGCTGTCTTTCATATATAGGCTCCAAAGAGTTGCTTTACATGTACCCATGGGTTTGAGCATTCCCAGTGGGAATTATATACTTTCCTGTTTAACAGCCTAGC